CTATACTCTGTAACCAGCACCAAAAATACCATACTCTGTAACCAGCACCAAAAATACCATACTCTGTAACCAGCACCAAAAATACCATACTCTGTAACCAGCACCAAAAATACAATACTCCGTAACCAGCACCAAACCATACATATGGGAAAGGTTCTGAGTCCACACATGAATAATATGGGGTGCATATGTTGTAGAACTGGCCAGTCACTTAATATGAAGATAGATATGAATATTGTAATTTTTGTATAGATGGCATTGAAATGTTGTGCAGTTTCAGAAAGCTATATTAAAGCAGATGCAGAGCACCATCTCTGGCTAAGTCTGGTAGAGCCAGCAGACGGGCTGCTACTTAGTTGTGAATAAATAATCCACAATGCAGTTAAGCACAAATGATGAAATATAATTTAACATCACAATTCAGGTTTGCTAATTAATATTCCATACTGCTGCCACCAGTAACCCATAATTTAGACTGAATCTTAATGTTCTTGTTTTTTTCATCCCTTATCTCCCAGTGGAGATGTACTGCATTGTAATATACAGAGTGTTGATTGTCTCATTCGGATGGAGATTGACTGAAATAATTGCTCATCTTTGTGGCTGCACCGCAGATAGAATGTCCTTGCACACCCCTGCGCTCGTCATATGTTTCAAAACACTCATCAAATGCAATAAAATAAAAATTGTGAAATAAAAGTAAAGCTGTCAACCACTGCTGTATGGAAAATGCACTGTCATGAATGCATATATCCAATCTGTGAGCATATGGATTTATGGAATGGTGCTGATGTCCCCAGATACCGAGCAGCCTAGCGACACAAAGGGGGCTGACCTTTGACCTTCGCCCTGCTTCTCCTTATACCAAAGGCCGCAGTTGCCAGTTTACCCTCCTGGTCCTTTAAGGTCCCCCTGGTCCGTTTAGACAAAGAGCCTAAAATAATACCACTGATCTGAAAGTTTCTACAAGGTCCAGTCATCCAAAAGTAAAATGAGTTTTTTTATTCACTGGAAACCCACACCAACTAAATCTAATGTGCTGAGCAATATCAGTGAGTCGTTTATTGTGGCTGTTTATCTTCAGTATATATTCTTTTGAGCTGAAATAATCAGTCTGCATCTTCTTGGATATAGACTTTTCAGATATTAGTATCATTTATAAACTTATTTAAGCCCACAGAGGTATAACACACCATGTGAGGCTGAAATGTTACTCCGTGCTGCAAGCTCGTTATCCCATTTGTCATTAGTTAAACTGCAACTCAAAATTCCTCTTTTGCTCAGTTAGGTGTTTTGGGTGCCCGTTTTACCCTGAAGGTCACTGGAAGTGTTCAGCAGTGATCTATATGCTGTTAACATCGAGCATATCTGACAGCATGTCCATGAGTAGCACAACAGTATGAAGTAGGTTATCCGTATATCTTCATCCCAGGTGGTCAAATGTCAACCAGAATCAAAAGAAGATCAACGGATCCACTTGAAGCAAAGGACAGGGGGTTGTTTTGATTCAGTTGAAGTATTAATTCATTAATCGAATGATTTTTAAAACTGATTTTGGTTGTTTTTATTGTCATCAACTGTAACTGCTTTACTCTAAACCAGTGTTTCCCAAATTGGTTCTCGGGGATCCCCAGCTTACTGGGAGCTCAGAGGGAGTGAAAATGTGGACTGTCCTCAAGGACCGGATTGGGAAAGACTTCTGTACACACCTCCAAAATGACAAACTTCTGGATGTTACTCATGGAAAATCAATACACACACACATACACGTAACCAATAAAAGTATTTTACTTTACTTTGAAACACCTAAACAAGGAGGAACAAATCAATGAACACAAGACACAGTTGTCATTGCCTATAGACCAGCCTTGGGGATTGTCTTCAGTGTTTATTTATTATGTCTCGGGGGGTGACCTTACATGTGATTTCCTGCAATGTACAACCCAGTACATAGAATTCAATAACTTACAAATTTACTGTCACTCATTGCATGTTTAGTAACAGAGAAAGGCATCAGTTTATGAAACCATTTCAACATTTCATATTTGTCAACCCTGTTTGGAGAGAGATCATAATTATCTTTGGATGAGTCAGGAAGAATCGAACATTTAAAATGTTTTTTTTTTCTCCCTCAGATGATTGTAGCTCAGTTATTGAGAGTTCAGCACACTTACTTTAGAATTTAAATGAAAGGAGATAATGAGACACTTTGATAGTGAAGCTTATATTTTGTGATGAACTAGAGCTGCAGTTCTTACATTTTCCACCCGACATTAATATGGACCAGTTAACATGGGCCAATTAATATGGACCAATTAACATGGATCAGTTAATGTGGACCAGTTAACATGGACCAGTTAACATGGACCAGTTAACACGGACCAGTTAACATGGACCAGTTAACACGGACCAGTTAACATGGACCAGTTAACACGGACCAGTTAACATGGACCAGTTAATATGGACCAGTTAACATGGACCAGTTAATATGGACCAGTTAATATGGACCAGTTAACATGGACCAGTTAACATGGACCATATCCCTCCGTCTGCTAAGGTGTATAAGATGGTTGTTATTATTGTATAGGAGATACTACTCACATGCTCAAACGAGAAAAAGTAGTACATTTTAGGTCATCCTCGATAGACTTAAGGTCTCAATTATGTCAGTATGTAGCTTAGAATAGTTTTTCTCAAGTGAGTCCTTGGGGAATCCCAGATGGTCCACGGTACTGATCCCTGGGAACTGGGAGAGAGCAAAAACCTGGGCTGTCTAGGGGTCCCGAGGACTGGCTTGAGAAACGCTGGCTTAGAAGATAACAAGCAGATTCATTATATTTTTTTCAGAGTGCTCCTGAAACATATGTGCACATATGGCAACTTGTGCATGTAATATGTCCACAATTAATACTGAGTCTTGGATCTTGTATGATGTCCAAATCTCGCAGTTCTGTCGGAATATGCTGCTGAAGGTGTTGCATTGCATCATGGGTTATATTTTTCATGCCTGTCTTCTCTGTGTCCCCCCCTCTCTGGCCCCCAGGTGACAAAAGACGACAAATATGCACAGATTTGCCCTCCCCATTTTAAATTTGGCTTCATTCATCCCCTCCCTTAAACATACCATCATATTTAAATGAAGTCATGCCCCCTCACCTCAAACTCTCTTCTACGCCATTGCATATGGCACCGTTTGCATATAATATATGTACAATTAATACTGAGTCTTGCATGATGTCTAAATCTCAGTTGTGTCGAAAGATGCTGCTGAAGGTGTTGCAGTGCATTGTGGGTAATGCCTGCTCTCTGGCCCCCTTCCTGCCCCCAGGTGACAAAAGATGGTAAATATGCATACATATAACAACATGTGCGTATAATATATGTGCAATTAATGTCAAGGCTTGTATGATGTCTGAATCTCACAGTTGTACGTGAAGATGCTGCTGAAGGTGTTGCATTGTGGGTAATGGCTGATCTCTGCCCCCTTCTCCCCACAGGTGACAAAGATGCTTGCTGTGGTGGTCATTCTCTTTGCTCTGCTGTGGATGCCCTACCGCACTCTGGTGCTTGTCAATTCCTTCGTGGCCACGCCCTACTTGGATGCTTGGTTCCTCCTTTTCTGCAGGATCTGCATCTACGCCAACAGCGCCATCAACCCTGTGGTCTACAACCTCATGTCCCAGAAGTTCCGCTCGGCCTTCCGCGGACTCTACCGCTGCCAGGAGCAGGAGGTGCAGCGCCGCACCCTCTCCGTGGTCAACAGCACGGTGCGGGACTCAGCAGACCCAACGCTGGTGGCCGACATGAAGGACAAGAAGCAGTGTGGGGTGGCCAATGAGAATGGGGAGAAGGCAGACATGCGGGACCAGGAGGTGTCCTTCACATGCAAAGGTGATGTGGGGAAAGATGCCCTCACAAGGGAGGTCAAAGCAACACCACAATTCACAAAGGTTAGCAAGCAGGAAGAAATTGGCCAAAGTGTGGTCTAAAAAAACATGTGGACTAAGGCAGCAACCTTCTGCTCAAACTGAACATGTGTTCAGCTGCCCAGTAAAATCAGGGAAGCCTTTGTTGCATAAGGAAGAATGGAAGCTGCTCTATTGTTCACATTCTTTATATTCTGTAATTCTGTATTTTCCACCATGTAATGTTGGAGCTGTAATTAATAAAATTTTCTTATTTCTGTGCATGTGAATTGAAAAAAAAAATCCTTAATAATCCACCTTAAAGGACAAAAGAAGTATTCTAATGAAGCACCAGGACACTGTCCCCCGAAGTGTGTTTGCACACGATAAGGAACAATAAATTCCCACTGGGAAAAAAATCTGTCATTTCTCACATAAGTGATTTATGAATTTGTACATTATGAATTAATGTTGTTGTCATTTAAAGAACAATAATTTAGCTGTTTGCAAACATAAATGCATGAACAGGCAAAGTTGATTCAGTTGCATGGAACAGTCATAATGTATAAAAACACAGATGGTTGGGACTGGCCTCACTGACTCATTCAGGCTCGTATGAGACTGGCCTCACTGACTCATTCAGGCTCGTATGAGACTGGCCTCACTGACTCATTCAGGCTCGTATGAGACTGGCCTCACTGACTCATTCAGGCTCGTATGAGACTGGCCTCAAACCTGCACTATGGGGATCCATCCAGTCATTATCGTAATTGCTTTAGATTCTTGTTAAATATATTTTGGATTATATATTTAAATATATTTTGAATCAGTACTGGCAAGAAACTTCTAAACAAATGTTAGATGTTGTGAAGACCATCTTTTTCTGTACAATGGATATTTGTTAATATGGTGTCTTATTTCCTGGATGTTATTCTGTACATGAATATCAACATACTGTAGGATTTTAATAGCTGTGCATTAATTCATTCTTACTCCTCGATCACACTTAATTGTGTGGGAACTATCACGTCATCCAGTCACTTAATTACCATTGCCTCATCGCATTATCACTCAAAGTACCTTTGAATCCATCTCATCTGCTGTTGCACATTTGGTGATACGTGGAACCCATGTCATTTGGGTTCCGCCGAGTTTCAAACACCGATGAGAACACAGCTCAAGTGTGACGGCAGCACACAGCCCATCAGCCATGACAGCTACATCTTTGCAAGGAAGTGCCACGTTATAAGCCAATCCAGTCATCCATCCATACATCTGCTGAAATGCCTCTTTATGACTCAGTAGCTATTCTGAAACCATACTTTAAGCTGTTTCTGTCTGCCTTTTGTTTGACATGTTTACTTTGCCTTCTCTGACCTTTTCCCTTCACCTCTTCCTCCACGCAGTTCGGTCTCTGAGGGCGAGCTCCTTGTTGTGATTCAGCCTCCCTGCTCTGTTGTGGTTGTGACTCTCCAGCGGACCCCTGTACTTTGTCACTATGGATGACAGGTAGCTAACATTGGTGTCTTTGCCACTAGTATGTTTATCTTGAGCATATGCTTAAGGTGGTTTGCAGATGCACTTGTATGTGACAATAAGAAGTCTGTTTTCTTTTACGTGATGCATGCAATATTGACTGTACTATTTATCATATACTGCAAGATTTTGCATTGTTAAAATTTGGTTATATACATATTATATTCTTTGTGTTTCATCTTGAACAGTTGAAAATGTTAATATAGTCAGCTTTGTACATCTGAAGATGATTTTATTCGCTTGGATTTGTGAGCAGGGGTTTTGTCTCAGCACAAAGGATTCTTGAGGGAAGGGATGCAATGGATTCAGCTGTTAAATGTGCACTGTGCTAATTGAGAAATCGGCTTAATGCAGATGAGGCGGAAACTCCTTCGGAGCCCTGCGTACTGTACATCTGCAGCCACTTACAAGAAGTGCAGGAACAGAACAGCCTCTTTTTGAGGTTGCACTTAAATGGCTGAGAGGTAAAACTGTCAGGAGAAACCTCCGGAATATAACGGCAATCTGAAAGGTTCTGTGTTAAGATAATTTCAGGATGGGTGAACCATAACGTTTAAAAATAAAAAAAAAATCAAACAAGTGAACTGAATTTTTGAATATACTGGTTTTTGACAAAAAAACTCTAACACATTTTTCATTTGTGGGCAAGTAATGACGGTTGAACACTACATCTATTCTGCCATTGACTTTCACTGCCTAAATGTTGTAAATAACCTTAAAACACAACTTTCACACTGACCATAAACTGAGCATATTTAGCTCCAACACAGAATCAATACATTCTGGAAGATACAAAGATAGACGTTGAACGAATAATACAGATCTGAAGAAGTGAAGCCATGGACTTGAACTTGCAAGGGGTCTATCTGTTAAGTGGTTACCTTGGTTACAGGTTTTTTTTTATTTTACTACCATGGTTAGACTGGAGAGATGTCGGAAAGGCAGACAATACAGTCACGGAAATGGATTTGTGATGACAGGCAACAGTGTCAGTCCTGCCATTGATAAAACCATTTTCAACAGGCCGTCATTGAAGAAGATCAGAGACCTGACAGAATGAGAGAAGCAGGGCTGTTAGTGAGGGAGGGGGAGGGGGAGGGGGGCCTCACACTCAACTCTGCGAATTTATAGGCTAATTACAGGCGATTAAAATGTAACCTTTTTATTCGTACTTTGCAATGAGTCACATTCATCCTGATCAAAAAAATTACAACTAAACTAAATTACAGAAGAAAACACATCGTTTTAAGTTTCAGATGTAAAAAGCACAAAAAAATACAGGTAAGAAAGATTTGCCGGAAGATAGATGGAGAAAAGCAGAGAGAGCTTCACTCGACTCTGTATCTCCATACGGCTCTGTACTGGATACCACGCAATGCCTGTTACTTCAAAGTGCATAGAATACTTTGTTTTCTTTCAATTATTCCTGCTTCTGATGACTTCAGTATCCCTGCATACCCTCACTCCGAGCTGCTCAGTCCCTGCACCAGCGTCACTCGCTGGAATTGAGAGAGGTGGGCTGTCAACGGCAGATATTGATAAAAGAAATCAGTTAAAAAACACAAAGAAACCTAAAGATCATGAAAGTGCTCACATCGTGCACAGTAATTAAGGATGAAAGGGCTTAGGGAGCAATTATGGTAGTTCTGTTTAAGTTGGGCTCAATACTGTCTAGCTGTGACTGACATTTTAATGGACTGAATCGCTGCGAAGGAGCAGAAGATGCACCTTTAAGATGAATAGTAAAAAGCCTCAGTGAATGCAAGAGCAGCAATGTCTTCTTCATGAAGATGTATAGCACATAGCCGTCTTCCCGCAATTGCGGCCCCGGAGGGCCTGAATCCAACACCGTTTGCAGATCTCCCTGCTCAAACACATCTTAATAAGCTAATTACCAGGTTTATTGGCTGTGTTTGAACTGGGAAACAGTGTTGGATTCTGGCCCTCCAGGACCAGAACTGGGCAACCCTGGCATATACTATACTGTATTTCTAACAACAACCATAAACTAACCAAAGCATAACCAACAAAAAATTAAAAAACAATCCCACATTAATAATGAAAAAAAATCTGAGTGCTCTGTGAAAAATATACATTTGTAGGTACTACTAGTCCTGATTGTTTAAATATTTAATCATTACGGTAATCCTTATTGATTGATAACTGCAGCGCAGTGCCTATTTTTATTCCTTTGCAAACAAGTGGCCATCCAATCGGCCTTCAGGATAGAAATTCAATCAATTCCCAAAATTCCATAGCCCCTGCCAGTCCACGCCCCTTTACCACGCCTCATTATTCCTGTGCTCAGCTCTGTTACCAGGCATCTGACCAGTGCCTGTTAACAGCAAAAAGCCAATACTGCACAGTTCAGCTTTTTATTAAGAGTTCCTTAATTACAGTTACAGTAATCCCGCATTTTACCCTGTGCTGCCCTGCATGAAGCCCCTGCGAGTGGGGACCAGAGTGCGACCAGAGTGGATGGATGGAGAGAAAAAAAATTATTACATGTAAATTATCTTTTATAAATAAAAATTATTTAAAAAAAAACAATAAATAATATTTCAGCATATATATATATATATATATATATATATATATAATTTTATTTGTTTATTTTCATTCATGAGTCACCTCAGCTGAAAAGGGAGAATGAGAGAGAGAGAGAGAGAGGAAGAGAGAGAGAGGGGGAGTCCTTTATTGATCCCTATAGGACAAATTCTGTTACAACAGCATTAATAGCAACAATGGCAACATATAGCATCTTATGTTTATGAGAAATAAATAAAAGAGAAAAAGTGAAAATGAACAAACAAACAAATAAATAATTAAAAAATAAAGAATAATGTACGAGGACTATCCTGATAATGTGCAAGTATTTTGAGAGTAGAGTGCAAGTATTGTACAAGGATACTTTAGTGGCTTAGAGAGCGACGCTCTCCTTGCCCAGCAATGACTGCTGTACAGTGCAACGCCAGTCTGTAGGAATGATTTCCTGAAGCGTGCTACTGAATATGCTCTGCTGGTTAAGGGGATGTTTGTTATCGTTCATAATGGAGAACAGTTTATTGATTATTCTCCACCACTGACTCCAAATTGTCCAAGGTGAAGCCAAGAATGGAGCCGGTGTTTTTGATTAGCTTATTCAAGTATCGCAAGCTTGATCAGTATCACAAGTGAAATGGAAAACACCTGTTTTATCAATGCAAAACCGAAATATCAGATCTGTCAGCCCATATCACGGAAACAGAATTGATATCCATCAGCCATAATGTGCATAAAAATTCATTAAAAGGCAAATCTCCACCCATCTACCCATCTTCCAACTGAAAATGTCATGTGTATTTTTTTTGTTGCACAAATACATCTCAGTGAATCACGTACAATCTGTCCCAGTCATGTGGTTTGCCTCTTCATCCACGAATTTGTTGAGAGACCCAGCATTTGATTACATATTCATATCTGAACGCTTTCAGCTGCTGGTTGGACCACAGCTGTCTGGTCAGCAGTGCAAATGATGTTTGTGAAGACACAGTGTCATAGGCGATGAGTATGAATCCCAAACAAGACCTCGGATTAGAGTGGATGTGTTTCTGGAAAATTTCATCTGTAGAAGAACTATTATGGTGTTTCCATTACACCACAGACCAGGAGTAGCGATGTCTACCAAGACATTCTGCTAGTTTTTCCGAAAAGGACATTGGATAACAAATGGAGAACCAGGGGAATATAAAGTAATATCAAATATGTCTGGCAGTGTGTGTGTTACCTGACATTAGCTGATAACATTTCCCCTAAGAGCCAACAGAGGGAGATAACATATAAGAGAAGACGAGGTAATTGCCTTTCCGAGTAACAATGGAGGGCCACTGATCTCGTGGCAGCTGGAATCGAGCGATCCATTGGCTGGCTTGTGCCTGCACTCTCTATTTTTATATAATTAGAGAGAAACAAAGACCTGAAACGGATATACAGCTCACGTGTGCTAATGCCTCTTTGGGGGGTGGAGACCTTGGCACCCAAAAGCATCGTGGACAAAAATCAAACAGGCTGACACATTGCGCCCATCAGTAAGAATGGCCTGTGCCAATGGGCCATAACAGATTAAGCTATTAAGAAGAAGTTACTGGGAAGGAGCTTTTCGTGGCGGTGTAGTAGGGGGGGTGGGTCGCAGCTGGAGTAACAGATGGCGCATGGCGATATTTACTGCTTGAATTTACTGATGTTGTGGGAGTTTATATTATTATAGACCAATCTGAAAAATATGATGATGATGATTATTATTAACAAGAACAACAACAACAACAACAATAATAATAATAATAATAATAATAATACAATGCCATCGATTTTCCATTTTACAGTTTAGAGACAATGGAGAAAGTCCACACACAGACAGGGTAAGGCGGGTGTTAAAGCTGCAGCTCTGCTGCCTGCTGAGCCTTTATACTATACATTATGCTGAGCCTTTATACTATACATTATGCTGAGCCTTTATACTATACATTATGCTGAGCCTTTATACTATACATTATGCTGAGCCAGAGATGGGGTCAGGGTGGCCTAGATGGCCGCCATACTGCTGAGCATTGCAGTATAATACCTCTATGCTTTTAGTGCTCTTCAAGTCTTCATTTCCGCCACAGAGAGATGCTTGCCTTCCCATCATTCCTTGCAGTCACGACTCCCCTCTCAGTCTCCTCGCTCTCACAGAGGCGTGTCGAGGCGTTTCAAGAGAATCCCCTTTTAGGGGCTCTACCAAAACCTCCGCCTCACAGGAAGGGATCTGTTTCTCATTTCTAACTCAAAACTGCACCCATCCGACATTACCAGGCCCCTGCCCTTGCAGAGCATTATGGGTAACGAGATGAAATAAGAAGGAGAACGAGACATGCAAACCGGGAAGAGGAATCACGCTTCTCGCTTCCAGCACGATGGCTTTTAAATTGGAAATTATCCCGCCAGCGTCTGTGCGTGGCACGTCCGCCATGGTCCATGTGGCATCCTGTAATTACCTGATCTAGGGGGCGCTCCTCTGACTATAAATACGATAAGCGACGCTTGGCCAGGGATGCTTCTCCAGTTCCGCGTAAGGCCTTCGGAGAATCTGCCGGGAAGCCGGGAACAGCTGGCTGGCGGTCATCCCACCGGGCAGACCCCGTGGAGAGCGCATTACCCACTGCTGGGCGCCACACCTGCCTCAGCGACGCCCGCCTCATGCATCCAGCGTCCCAGGGGACATTAATGGAGGCTGAAAGGTACCCTAACACCCTGTGGAGCGCCCAGATGTGACACCGGAGCTGCTGAACAAAAGCCAGGTCTTACCACAAGCGGCAGAGTGACTGCTCATACAAAACAGAAGGACTCCATCTCCAGCTACACGGAGCATGCAGGGGCGCCGCCACAGATTCTGGGCACCATGAAAGCAGATTATATCACAGCCACGGAGCCACACACTACCCCCCCACCCCGTCTATGTATAATCTTACAGTCAACTTTAACAATATACATATACAGAGAAGGATGAATAGCCCAGCTAATGGCATCTATTTATGCGTCCTTGTCT